TATAGCAGTGACTGTATGAGAACATCAATAGTATTTGTTAAAAATAATTTTGGAACAGATTCTTTAAACCAATTGTAGTGTATGAAGGTTGAATCAGGCAAGCTGAGCCAATCAAATCTTGCCCGCCTGCCTGTTGATTCAGAGTTAGCAACACCTCATCAATCCTATTCAAGCATTACCAAATTCAACATTTTGAACATGCTTCAAGAGGAATGCCTATCCCTGCCACCTCCATTGTTGTTTTCTTCACATTTCAGCATCAGGTCTGAGGAGGAGAGGTCCAGGGCTCTTGGTAATATGGAGAAGCCATACTTGAGCTTCAAGCTCTTCTTTTCAGATTTGGCAAACATTTAAGCAAGTTTGAAGGTAGGAATTTTAAAGTGTGTCAAAGCAAATTTTGAATGCAAGATTTCGTCATGTCTGATTAGGGCTATAGAGTGGGAAGAGACTAAACGTGACATGCAGCCTCAGGAACAAATGTGCAGTAAGCAATAGGACAAAAACAACAACAACAAACCAGTAAGAAGGTGTCTTCAGCAGTTCACTTCCTAACACACAAAAGGGGCTGTAGGAACCCGTGCCTTCCCCTAATGATACCACTTTCACTGATAACATTGCCTAACTGATATGTGAATGCCTGACTCAAGTGGGCTAGAGTCAGCTGCCAGAAAAGCACTAAGAGCATCAAGAGTCCCTCTCTACAACAAAGCTGCAGGGAAATGCACAATTTGCAGCATATCCTGAAGAATTTTCATACAATTGGTATGTTGTTGTGTGTCATGAAGTCATTTCAGACTTATGGCTGCCCTATGAATGAGCAATCCCCAAAATTCCCTGTCCTCAATAGCTGTGCAAACCCAAGTCTATGGCTTCCTTTACAGAGTCAATTTATCTTGTATTTATCTTCTTTTCCTGCTGCCTTGAACCTTTCCCAGCATTATTATCTTTTCCAGAGAATCCTGCCTTCCCATGATGTGCCCAAAGTAGGACAGCCTCCGTTTCAACATTCTTTTTCAGAGATAGTTCATGCTTTATTTAGATTATACCAATTGATTTGTACAATTGTTATAATTCATGTGATAAACAATTTAACTAGATGTGCTATACTTCATTAATATGGCTTTTAAAGAAGAGTTCCCACCTTTTTCCATATTATTATTACTATTAAGAGTAGTGGTGGAAGTGGTGGTAGTAGTACTCATTTTACCAACCTCAAAAGGGTGGAAGGCTGAGTCACCCTTGAGCTGTCTCCCTTATCCATCTGGATTGACCTTAGGTCAAAAGCAGAGGCTTGATTGCAGTACTGCAGATCAATTATTGTGCTGCAGGGCTCGCATATCCATTGGAAGTTGTCCAGATGGTTTTCATTGTTGCCTCTTAGTATTCGAAATTACTTGGAGAACCTCCATGGATACAGCGGAGTCTTTCAGCAAGTCACCATGCATTTTTAGAGGGCAATGAAAATGGAGAGGGAGAGGGTGGGGTAGCCCAAACCAATCTTCCTGTATTTATTTTCCCTATTTTAATAGTATCTGCATGACATTTTACATAGTCTCATTTTCAGCTCAAAAGAGAAAGGGAAATCAATAAATGTCCAGAAACCATAAATTAAAGATGTATGTCTCATGCCAAATGACCATTACTGTATGGTCAGCGAACTCTTTCCTCCGGTTGTATTTTAATTAGAAAATTTCCGAGAAGGCTGCTTTAAACAGTATTCTTTTTTTTCTCAATGTAGTGGAATGTTATTCAATTTTTCAATGCCTTGAAAAGTTATTTTTTATCTATAGCCACATTTCACATAATCCTAAAGAGTGGCCTTGGCTGTGTATCATATGGCTTTCTTTGGTTACAAAGCATTTGTTCCAAAGATTCAAAACATCTTACTTCTGATTCTTAAATTAACTTAATCCTGTAGATAATACATTGTTTTCAGTACAACACTGCTAACACTATAATATTCAGTAGTGGCAGTCCAACATTAGCTGGAGGACAATAAATTTGCCTCCCTTGATGAACACAGTTATCTGAGAGTATGTTCACTGAACTTGGTAGAGCTCGCATCTGAGTTGAAATACATAGGATTATAGTGGAAATGAAACACATTGCCTATGGAAGAAACATCAAATGAGAATTTTTAGAATCTCAAGAAACGGGCAGTTCTGTCCCTTAGGTAAGAGAATATACAGGTTAAAAAGTAAATACTAAGAAGGTTTTAAAATTAATTATTATCTATTTATTATCTAACTCCATGCTAAACTGTTTAGTTTACATTTCTTATTCTTGTAATTGTAAACAGATATCAGTTTAAAGGCAGTCGGATGCTTTTTAATTAAAGGGCATAAAACAACGATTGGTTATAGCACTAGATCCGTCTGAGAGCACAGTGACTGTCACCGACTTATGCAAGCAAGCTCTATCTTCTCTACACCTATGAACTGCATTGTGTCACCTGTTTTTATTTTTAAGTTCTAGAACTTCACAGTGTGAAATTCAGGCAATCATTCAGTCGGATGCTTTTTAATTAAAGGGCATAAGTGATTGGTTATAGCACTAGATCCTTCTGAGAGCACAGTGACTGTCACCGACTTATGCAAGCAAGCTCTATCTTCTCTACACCTATGAACTGCATTGTGTCAGCTCTTTTTGTTTTTATTTTTAAGTTCTAGAATTTCGCAATGTGAAATTCAGGCAATCATTTAAGCAATGGAATAACCTATATTAATCTTTAATACCTTTTCTATTTTAAAATTCTGAGTTTCCTGTTTCTGACAATTCTGTAGTCTTCAAAAACTATAGGAATGACAATATGGAGGAAGAATATGATACATATCAATTTGGAGACCAGAGGTGTGCATATTTATGTTTTTGAACAATGCTGCCTGGGGAGTTCTGGGAGCTTTTGTCCAAAACACAAATGAATGCATCTATACTGGAGATATAAAACACAAACTTGTAACCATAACAGGCATCAGACTCTTATGGTGTCCTTGCAACTGATAGGGAAGAAATAATGGAGAAATGTGGGTTAGCTTAGTGGTTACTTGGATGTTACTTTGTTACTTGGATGTTTTTGAACTGCAACTCCCAGAAACCCCAGCCAGCACAGTTGGTGGTGAAGGCTTCTGGGAGTTGCAGTCCAAAACTCCTGAGTAACCCAAGGTTAAGAACCAGTGGGTTAGCTGAAGAGATCACTGCCTAGGCCCCATATAAAATTCCGTAAATCATGCAGAGTGATTTCACAATAAAGCAGCCCATATCCTCTTTGCCTAAATTAACAGAATCAGTGATCAAAATCCTGTGGCTTAGCATAATACATTGCATTAGAGTAGGCCCATTGAATCAGTGCGTATTTGGTGGATCAACTCTGTTGATTCATATGGATTTTACTGTGTGTCTGTACAGCACTGTTAGAATCCTTTCAGATCTCTGTAACTACATTGGATACATCATAAGAAATCATGATTTGATGTTTGATAAAGTTTTTAGAATTACCTTCTTACATGATATTGTCTGGTTGGACATATGATATTGTCTGGTTGGACATATATGATATTGATGGTTGGACAGTGTCATCAAAGCCACCAACATGAATTTGATCAAATTCTGGGAGGCAGTGGAAGACAGAAGGGTCCGTCATGCTCTGGTCCATGGAGTCACGAAGAGTCGGGCATGACTTAACGTCTAAACAACAACAATATCATCTAGACATTATTTCCATAAATAGATCTGCCATGCTTTGAGGGGAGTGCCTAGTCTCTCACCTTTCCATCACCACAGAAGGCAGCTACAACGAAAACATTCATGCTCATGTGTAGATTTTCTATCTGAACAAGGAGAATCGAGCCTATGTGAACAGGGATGTCTCCTCCATAGACATGGCATTTTCTACACAGAGAAAGTAAAATGCGAAGAGGGAGGGCTATAAGCATGGTGAAGCATGGTGAATCTACTCATGTAAGTAATGTCAGAATTGCTCTCAGTACTCCTACTGCTATAGGTTAGGAGAGTGCACCAGAGCTGTCCAGTAGAGAGTACTCAAGTACTCAACAGTGTGCTCATTAAGCAGGCCTCCATTGGTGATCTTGATGCTCTTAAAAGGCATGTAAATCTGTATTTCCAGTCTTACCCTGGCCCGTCTTTGAATCTGTAAGCACTTTCCTTATTAGCTGCAGTCCCCATGACACTGTGAACCAGTATGATAGTGACATTAGCAGTAATTTGTCCTACCATTCTTTTTAATCAATCTAATTTACATCTTTGATTGTGACATTAGCAGCAGTTCAACCAATTTCCGTTTGGCTGCTTTATATGGTTTGAAAGCACATTCATGTATTTGTACAATATGATTATGATAATTACTGATCTTTGTTAGCTTAAATTCTACTGTTTACTCTCATTAAGTAATTACATTGCCCTCTGTTTATATGTATATAAGTGGAAATTACTTGACAAACCTTGGTTTCTTTATTTGATCTTGCAGTGTAGATTTTCAGCCTTTCATGTACAGTAAATTGGAACATTAGCAGTGAAAATAAATTCATGTAATTTACTGATGCCAATAGTAATACCCAGGTTGTATGACTGTATGCTCCCAACATGCAACCATTTTCTGTAGAGTACTATATAGAACAGTATCCTATAAAATATTCAGACAGAACCAGAAGGTTATATGGAATCTCCCAATTTTTCAGATCTGTCATTAATGTGTTGTATGTAAGACCAAATAAATCAGTGTATTTCTCTTCTTGGGCCTCTTTTTATGTTCATTTAAAAAATCTCAGCTGTAGTGGGAGAAACCTATTCCATAAATTAGCTTAGACTGTAAGAACATTTGGCATTTTTGCACACTACTTTCCAGAAAATATAACATTTTGTACGTTCATGAATAACCCCTACATATTCACTGGAATTTCAGGTCAGTTTATGATTAAACTTTGGAAGGTCTCTCTACTTGGTGATCAACATTCTAAATATATATTTTTCCCCCTCTGCCATAGGAACTGGATTATGAGGCCAAGGCCAGTTATACCTTGAGGATAGAAGCTGCAAATAAGCAGGTTGATCCTCGTTTTCTTAGCCTTGGGCCGTTCAGTGATATGACAACAGTGAAAATCATTGTAGAGGATGTAGACGAACCACCTGTATTTACTTCACGCTTATACACTATGGTGGTATCTGAAGCAGCCAAAGTGGGTACCATCATTGGAACTGTAGCAGCCCATGACCCAGACGCATCTAACAGTCCTGTCAGGTAATTTTTCAGTTTTTTTCTTTTGCTCCTGTAGGCCTCCAACCAATGTTGTGCTAGACTGAAGTCTTTATGTTTTTCCAAAATGGGTTTGAGAGGGTTTTTGTCCACTCTCCACAGGTTTGGGCAGCAGCAGTTGCAGGGGAGGAATACATTCTCCTAGTTTCTCCTGTTTGAAGCAGAATCCATCAGCAAAATCACTCCTGGATTTTGCTTCTAGTTATCTGCTTGTCTCTTCTTCTTTTCTCTTTGTATGAGAAGAAGTAGCAGACACATTTGGTTTGTGCAGAAACATTTTGCACAGATTTCAGAGACCCAGATCAGCTGCCTTGCCTTGCTCTTACGTAGGATGAGAAATCTTGTAGGGGTTGATAGTTCCTTACTGAGGGGTCCATAAATTCTGAGAAGACAGACTCCAGTGAGCAGTCTTTACATGCCTATTGCTAAACAGAAGGAGCTTATATTTTATTGACACTGGATAGTTTATGAAGGAATCAAATATTTGCTCCTGAGGTTTCCAAGTCTTCTGAAGGTCTTATGGAGCTCTAGAAGGGAGAACCTCTTTGTCTCACCATTGGTATGTGTCTGTACACTTTAATGCTGCTGAGTGATCTGTGCGCACCAGTTATGCACACATGAACTGAGTGGTGCATTGAAGGCCAAAAATCCTTACTAACGGTGCACATTGAACGCTGCAACATCAGAACTAGCACCACAGAAAGCTATTTTTACTTTGTAGCTATATATACACACTTAATTCTTCAGGGCACAGTGTCACACAAACTTAAATGAATAAACTTTCTTTTTCTCACTTGCAGTGTGAATCTGGATAATACTGATAAAATTGATATTTCATCTAGTGGGCTGTGTTGCCATGGATCTGTTGCATCAGTGTAATTCTAAACTCATTACAGATATTTAGATAGATAATGGAGTGAGAGAGAGAGAGTATATGTGTGTGTGATTCAGTACTATAAATGAAATTAACCAGATTATATAGAAAAACATTCTATAGAAGGCAAGAATCCATTATTATCCAAAACTCATAGTGTGAGTTTTCAACTTAAATTAAGTATTCCACTTAATAAAAGTATTCCACTTAAATAAATGGTGGTAATGCTTTGCAGAGCAAAATATTTACAGAAAACAAGCAATGTGCAGTCTGAATGCACACTGAACGTACTGTTTACAAAAACCTGTTCCTAAGTCACCCCTTATTGGAGATGCATTTTTTTCCTTATACATATCAGTATTGATGTATTTCAGCCTACAATTATGTGTAATGTAAATTCCTCTTGTGTTATGCATGGGGGCATGTGAGGACATTTTACCTTTTGTTGGAAATCCTTCAGAATAACCAATGGCATATTCTTTGTCTAATGTTTATGCATTTGTACAAAAACTAAAGAGACAAATAATCATAGAAAAGTGAAGTTGGAAGGGGCCTACAAGGCCATCAATTCCAACCTCCTGCTCAATGCAGGAATACAACCAAAGCATATCTGCCAGGTGATTATCCAAGTTTTTCTTGGATGCCTCCAGTGTTGGAGCACTCACCAACTCCTGAGGTAACTACTGTCATACTGCTCTAACAGTTAGGAAGTTTTTCCTGATATTCAACCGAAATCTGGCTTCCTTTAACTTGAGCCCTTTAACTTGAGCCCTTTGTTGCATGTCCTGTACTCTGGGATGATTGAGAAGAGATCTTGCCCCTCCTCTGTATCACAGTCTTTCAAATATTTGAAAAGTGCTATCATATCGCCCCTCGGTCTTCTTTTCTCAAGGCTAAACACGCCCCATTCTTTCAGCTTTTCTTCATAAGGCTTGGTTTCCAGCCCCCTGATCATCCTTGTCGCCCTCCTCTGAACTTGTTTCAATTTGTTAGTATCCTTATATAAGCCTTATTTCTGCCTGGTTATAGTGAAAGAATGCCAACTGCACTTTCTTTGCATTCTTTGAGCATAGGCTAATGAAATAATTAATTGTGCTTTTACAGCCTGTCTTTCCTCCCGTGAGCTCAAGGTGGTAAATGTGGTTATTTTCCTCCCACTTTAGTCTCACAATAACACTGTGAGGTAGGTCAGGATGAAGAATTTTGATTTGCCCAAGATCATTTAATGAGCTTCACAGCTTGGAAGGGATTTGAATGGAGGCCTCCTGAGTCCTTGTTCATGTCCATTAATTCTATTGCATAAAGATTGTTCCATTTCTTTATGTAGAGTGCATATGTGCAATGCTGACAAAAATGGTATAAATCATATTAGCAGATGAAAGAACAAACAAGAACCTGGTGTTATGGGTGGCATTGTTGGGGCCTGTAATGGTCCTGCCAGAGTAGATGTGGGGACAGATTTTGCATCTAGGGGTTGTAAAAGGTTCTAGTTGCCACCTCTTTATCTGTGTTGCATGATATGGGGGCAGGGGGTTTTAAGCAAGCACAAGTCACCCACCAAGGCTTGGAAGAGTGAAATACCTTTGTCCAAAATCAGTTTTAGATTATTGATATTGTGTATGAGTTGTTTCAGTAATGAGCTGAAGGAGACAACTAATTATGCTCAGCATTTTCACTTCTGGGCCTCTCTTGTAGTTGTTTGTTTCTGGATATCCATCTGGGTATACCCAACAATAGTAAGGGAGATTGTTTGTTTGTTCTGTTTGTTTTGACATAACATATCAGTAATGTAGACATGCATACATAAAGCATGGAAGTTAACTATCTGGTTTACAACTGATTGGCCAAAGGAAGGACATTCCACGAGGCCATTCATTCTAGAATCTAATATTACCCAGTTGCACCATTCTTCATGCTGAGAAATGTAAGACACAATGGAACATTGCTGAAGGTTTCTTTAACTTTGATTAATCCTGATTAGTCATTAATAATGCTTGCCAGATGGACAGAAGAGGAAAGTGAGATAGTATACCTAATAATAGTGCTGGTGGAGGAAGATGTCACTTATTATAGATCTCTTACACTTGTTTATGATATACTTTTACTCAGTACATAAATCCATGCTTACGATATAGATTCCCAGTTAGTCTTTTCTTCTAGCAATATTTTATTTCACAACCATCATTTTTAAGTTTGCTTGAGGAAATGAATATTTCAGACTATAATATATGCTTCTTTCAAATGACTGGCCCCATCATTTAAACATATAGACAGTGATTTAAAATATTTGTGTAGTCAAGGACTCATTGGACAAACCTTTATGAATCATTGTCTTCCATCCTCATTTCCTTAGCAGCGGCCCATGAATTAAAACAATGTGTTTTGGTTTAAGAACATTCTTACTGTTTGGCACTGTATTCCAAACTTCAGGAAGTAGTATATTTTGAACATGCAGATTTCACAAAAAATACTTCTAATATCATTAGGTGTCCTTTTAATAATGTAAACAATCAGTGGAATTTTCCTTAAGAAAATAGGTAATGAAAATTAATATTTTCAGAACTCGCTTTTTTACTAGCTATACTGACCAGCGACAGAGTTAATAACTAGGATGCCTGATTGCTGGCCAGACCTTAAATTCCATTTTCCTGGGCCTGCCACAACTGACTCTACTGTGAAGGTGGCAGTCAGTGTCTCTGGAGAAAGGATGCCAACTATGAAGCTGTTCAAGAGCAGTGCATTGTTGACCAAATGCAGCACCACAGACATAAGTGCAAATTCAGGGACTAAAATAAAAGCCAAATTAGCGTGCCAGCCTTAGAGAGCCATGGCTAAATTCCTAAATGATAGAGAGGAAAATACTTGATCTTCCTCAGGTCCGTTATCCTAGGTAGATCAGTGTAGGAAACAGATGGTAGAAACAAATAAATAAAAAGAGTTGTAAGCTAATGTTTGATCTCTGCTAGGTCTGACTGATTCATATAAAGAAGGGACAATTTCTGTTCATTCTCCTTTTTATTGCTAGGGTTGTCCAACTCCTGGAACAGTTTTTCTGAGAGCAGGATGCTAGTGAAGGAAAGAAAAGATGGAAACTCAGTTCCATGTGTGTAAACTGTATTTCACTCATGGAAGAGAAGACAGGATTTAGGTCATGTCCAGGATTTACAGTTGTCTAGTTATAAAGTTATGTACAGTAAAATTGCTGCCACTGTCAATTTTTAGGGATGCTGGAACTTGCACTCCAAATCATCTGGAGGGCACCTACTTGCCTACACCTATATTAGTGTACATAGCAGCATACAAAGTTGTGATATTGTAAGCAGCCTTGGGTCCTCTTGGGAAGGAAGGCAGGGGAAAAAATAATAAAAATGAATGAATGAAGACAAAATTGGGATGTGTGCAGAAGAGCCTTGAGTAGTGTGTAATGGAGTGTTGTTGTTGTGAAAACTAGTGTGAACTAGAGATAGGGTACTCGTATACAAATATCCCCGCACAGGTGGCATTAACGAGGGTCTAGCCCCATGGGGCTGGACAGTCCGCTCACCAATCCACTGCAGACGTGGACGGTGCGATTCTACGAATGGCTGTGCAGTGCTCAATCCGCTCACCACTCCCGGCAGGAGGCGGGAGGACAAGCCTTGCTGCAAGGTCGAAGAGTGGCGAGCGGATCACGCGCTGCGGAGCCGTTCGTAGAATCACACCATCCACAGCGAATACCCCCATCTCTAGTGTGAACCTGTTTTCATGTCTGAAATGATAGAAATTATGAACGTATTGTAACCAGCAGAAAAAAGTAGAAAAAAGTTTAGCTGTACCCAAGCTGCTCTGGAAAAGCATTTGTCTTTACACCCCAAAGTCCTTGATTGTAGTCTTATAGGGGCAGCATTTGATATTCTTTTCAATAATATGATGAAAACCTCTGCCATTCCTAAAAATATGAAAGCACTGTTGATTCAAGGAGTAACTGTGATGTATGACTGTACTAAACAATCGGATGAAGAGTGCCCATCTGGGTATAATAGAGTGAAGTACAAATGAGCAAAGCATTTTATCTGTACAGTAAAAATTTTCACTGTTTGAGCTATTCCATCTTTTTGAAGTTAGATAAAAATAACACTTCGATGTATATTTTCAGGTCCTTTTATTGTGGGGGGAAAATTCTGGAGAAAGTGGAAGTGTTTCATGTGTATAGAACATAATTGATAATAACTTGTCTTCCACATTTTGCAAATAATGGTATCTATGTCTTTAAACATGCTCCTACACCACAGTATTTCAAGTTATCTGTCATTGCTGTGGAAGATCTAAACTCTTTGGCCATTTCACCATCCTGCTTCTGCATATCTTGATCGGTCAAAAAGGTGAAAATCCTGGCCAGGTCAATGATCAATGAGGACTGGGTAGAATACCTTGTAGGCTTTGGATGTATAGGGTTGCTTTCAGAGTCATCCTCCTGTGACAGAAACTTTCTCTCAAATAATTTGCCCCAATGTATGTATCATTTGTGGAATACCTCAGTCAAGTCATTCTTGCTACTACTTACACTCATGTCACAAGGAAGAAGTAGCATTTTATTAACATTTTTGCTGATTTGGGAAAGGTTGAAGTGTTTTTCTCAACACCACTTTGTGTAAAGCATGAATGGGCTACTCCAAGATCATTTTTAAGGCTTCTAAAGGTCCCCTGAAAAAAGAAGAGAAAAGAAGAGGCAATAGGTTATCATTGGCTCTTCTTAAAAGTCCCTAGGAGAAGTAGTGCCACTCCCAATCTGGTGTAGAGAGATTCAGAGTAACCTTGTTTGAGAACTTCTTCTGTTATAGAATCTGTGTCCATGCAACACCTTTGGTTAGGATGGCAACAAGGTGATTTTTTTTAAAAAAAATCTTTTTCTTCTTATTATTATTTATAAAATCCATCCATGCTTATTTAACATCATGTCACTGAGGTTCAGCTTATAATCATTTGTTAATACAGTACAAATACAATACATATTAAGCTCTTAATCAACAAGGTGATTTTGAGCTCTCATGCATCCACTGCTAGTCCACATTGACTATAGCTCTATCTGGTCTTCTGGTAAATAGTTTTATATCAATGAAGAAGCATTTCTAATAAATCTCAAAGTGCATAGCCATTTTCAAAGACTGTAACTAAACTGTCAAGCAATGGTCAATTTCTCCTTTATTCACACGGTATTTTCTCTGTAAGGTTTTCTCATTCTCAAAAACAGCCTAGAGGGCCAAAATAGAGTGTGTTTAAGCCAAAGCAGCTCAGTGACAGGAGCCTGTGTTTGTATAATGACAATAAGGCCCCAGGAGCAAATGTGGTAACATGTAATCCCTGACCTACTCTACAGTTTTCTTTTCCAAACCAGGCACTTTTCTGCTAGTGACAAAAAGTTCTGCCTTTCACAGTGGAAATTCTGCTGGCAATAGTATGAGGCTGATTCAGCCAGGTGGCACACTTCCAGATCCATTCCACTTTAGGTTTGGATTCGGAAGATAAATAAATGAATGACCACCCTTGGAGTAAAAGAAGAGAAAAAGAAAAGGAAATACCTATCGTATCATTTAGGAGGAGGGTATCATGATAATCAAACCAGCTTTCCTCAATATAGTTGCATTTTGCAGAACTAGATGGTTCTGTAGACTGTACTTTCCTCATCCTGGAAGATCATAGGATACCTAATTAAAAAAGAGAGAGATAATGTGAATAAAAAGAAAAAATAGTGAAAGTCTTTCACCTTAATGTGAAATCAATGAAACATTTTTAACCAAGTGCAATTCTACATACATCAAAAGTTTGCTTTTATCTTTCATCCAGGTACTCAATAGATCGAAACACAGACTTGGAGAGATATTTCAACATTGATGCCAACAGTGGGGTCATTACCACAGCAAAACTGTTGGACAGAGAAACAAATGCTGTCCATAATATCACAGTCTTGGCTATGGAAAGCCGTAAGTTGCCATTTCAAAGATTTTGAAAAGCTTACCAAGTGCTGATTTTCACTATATAGTGTCTGCTGATTAGCTTGGAATCACATACTTTTCCTGCAGTCCAAATAACTCAAGAAGTTCTAGTTGTAGATAGATTAATAAAAAGAAGCAGTTAAATCTAGAATAAATATCAAAAGAAATTGCATTCTGCTTCTGGAATTTGACCTGGTATAAACATTATAGGTATGCATTTTGGATTTCTTAGACTACAAATCCCAGTATTCTCCTCTCTGGGAGTCCCATATGCAGGACCCAGGCCTTACAGACACCTAAACTATGCTCACCTTGAGAAAAGGCCCAGCGGGCAGGCTTCATATTTTAGATAGGCCTCACTTTCTTTTTGAAAGAGAAGCTTCCTGGAACCATTGAAGCAGTTTCTTTATCAAAGAGAAACTTGCTAGCTGGAACATCTACATATCCAGGTGAGGATAATTTAGGTCTGAGTCCTGCGAGTGAGACCCCCAAAAATGAAAATTGTGGGATTTGTAATCCAAAGAAACTGAAATACATATCCCTAATTCTCATAGCACAGGATTATGGTAACAAAACCATGATGCATCAGAGAGTGTAGAAGCATCCCTCCCATAAACGAAATCTCAGTTTTTACACAAAGTGCCCTATCCCCCTCCATAGATGAAAATATCAAATAAACATGAAAGAGAAAAGGAACGATTTGTACTTGCTAACTTCGCTGTTTTAGACTACAACTCCCAGGGTTTTGCTTTTGAAAGGGATAATGGCTCAAGGTTACACTGGCTAGTGACTTCTGAAAGTTGTAGTTCAAAAGGAACTTTCCAAGCTCCTCAAAATATGTAGAGTTGGAATCAACATTGTAGAATTTACTGCAACTTTATGATTATACAGTATTATGTATTTTTCATCCCAGCCACTGCTGAATTATGTATAGGCGGTGTTCCAATGGTTACAGCATAGTCTGAGATGATAGTTTCATTATATTCCAAAATGGTTGTTAGACAAAAGAAAATACTGTAGCAGAAGCTGGATATATTATCAATGTTTACTCCTTTCATTTTAAAATGAAGGGCCTTAGGAAAGACAGGGCAATGCACCTGACAAGTCATTGGTCCAATCAACTATAGCAGTTCTTTTGTTGTATTCATGTTTGTTTTATTATTGGTTAGCAAAACTTCTGTCTGCTTCATAAGACATATAGAATATTTACAAAATTAGTTGATAACGAAAATTATAACTAATTCTTATCCTTTTAAACAGAAAACCCCTCACAAATTGGGAGAGGATATGTGGCCATCACTATCCTTGACATCAATGACAACGCTCCTGAGTTTGCCATGGATTATGAAACTACTGTCTGTGAAAACGCAGAACCCGGCCAGGTGTGGATTTATATTCCTAACAGCTTGATGATATGTGCTGCACAGCAGTAATTTGATTTGCAGTGATGCCTCTTTTAAGATAAAATATAATCAGTTTACTGCAGTAAAAATGACATGTTGATTTGAAGCTAAACTAAACATTAACTAGATCTGAAACCTTCATCATCCAGGAACCCGTAAAAGAACTAAACAGGTAAATCTGCATCTCATACAAGTATAAACATCTTCTAGACTTCCTAACCTGTGAAAATACCACATTTCCATACTTCCAGTTATCTCACTTTTGTGATGAAGAGAGAAATGTTTTAGAGTAAATATATACTGAACATTCACTGATCAACCAAATTGGCATATAAGGAATTAGTGTCAGATTCTATAAACAACCTTCTCTCATAATTATTGCTTTACTTTACTTTTATTAGATTTTTACCCCGGCCCCCTAGACAAAGTCTACGCGTGGCGGCTTACACACCTAATAAAAACATCACAATATAACAAGTATCATAAAATCATTTAAAACCTCATAATTTGAAACTTACTTTAAATAATAGCTAAGATGAAATACCTGTACATAGTTTAAAAAGATAAAGACTAAAGATCAGTTAATTGACTGAAGGGAAGGCCTGCCTACATAGCCAAGTTTTTAAATGGCTTTAAAAAATACCCAGCAAGGGTGCCAGGTGTTTTTAAAAGCCATTTATCCTCAAGTGCTTGGAATAAATCATACATAATTCCTATAGTCACAATAAAACACTTCACGTCTGTCTCAGATCATACTAAGGTCACCATGTATTCTGTCGCCGGAATCCTATTACATGTTTATGCTAGTGTAACTACATCCATTTACATTTCAGTGGTGAATTCCCACAAGTCTGGATAGGCATTTGCTGAGTCATGAGACTGATGTGTGCTAGCACATGGCTATACCAATTTCTTAACTTGTGGCAACTCAGTGCTGAAATGTTTTCCAATGGAGTTACACCAGCAGTAAGAACAAATACAATTATTAACTTTTCCCTTAATTATGTAAGTGTTTATTGTTGTTCCTTTGAGTTCCTTTGTTTTATCAGAGCTCTGTAAAATGGGTTGATCTTTTTCATCCTGCTAATGGCCCCAGTACAATAATATCTCTCTCTCTCTGTGTGTGTGTGTGTGTGTGTGTATACGTATGTACATATGTATGAATACATGTACATTTCCATAGATAGAGATAGATAGATAGATAGATAGATAGATAGATAGATAGATAGATAGATAGATAGATAGATTGATTGATTGATTGATTGATTGATTGATTGATTGATTGATTGATTGATTGATTGATTGATTGATTGATTGATTGATTTGCCAGAAACTGACAGTGACATCAGGGATGTAGGGAGATATCTTTTACATGAACTACCATCTCTTTCTGGGAGTCATCCATTAAAGAAGAATTCTTTATACTGGGACTCTTTTCACATGTATTAGTCCTTTCTCTCTATTGGGAAGGAAGAGTTTTGTAGGAAGCAGCAGAAGACCCTTATGAAGATGAGAAAGGAATTATATTCTGAGCACCACTTTCTGCTAGAAATTATGAGACTTCACTCATGATCACTAGCAGTGTTCAAAGGCTTACATTTCAGTCAGTGTGAGTTGATCAGCCTAAATGGCTTTCTCTTCCACTGGGAAATTATGCACTGAGAATCATTACTTCTGAAAATTATAGTTTTACCAATCCTGTCAAAGAAGGTGATCAGAATATTGTTCATCAATCACCAGAGGAAACAACCCTTGATCTCTGTTTTTCAACTGAGTGGAGCAAATTTCAGAGAGGTAGGGAACTGCAGAGATTGGTGGAAATCCATGGCAATGACCAATGCCATCAGAGGAAGACACCCATGGGAAATCCACTGTTTCTCATGTTGCCTTTTCAGGATTTTATCCTGAAGTTTCATCCCTCCCCATCCTTCTGAAATTAACAGAGATGTTGTATGGCTGTACCATAAAGCAGACTGAACCAGTTACCTCAGGCAGAAGATGCTGGGAGCCTGCAGGAAGGTATTGGGGGAGAGATTCATGTGTCAGCTGGTCACATTTCATCCCTTAAAATGTTGTGTTTCCTTCAGATACAGTAGAAGCCACTGTACTATATAATGAACTTCCAGTTCAGCCAGGTTTTGCGCTAAGGAGTGGGAAGAGTACACCTGCTCCTTTGCTGCTGCCTTGGGCCAGCCCTGGGAGAGGGAAACTAAATCAAATTCAGGTAATTGTTTGAATGGAACAGGACTCATAGGAAGGTAACAGGAACTCTAGGCTAAAATTCCCCTTTATCTTTAAAGCCTTGAGCAAGTCATCTTACATTTTATACAAACTAAAAATCTAACGTGAAGGCAAACCACTCTTTTTTCCTCCAGGTAATTCAGAGAATCAGTGCCATTGACAAAGATGATCCCCCGAGTGGTCATCAGTTTTCCTTTAGTTTGGCAGGAGATGCAGCAAATAACCACAATTTTACATTACAAGATAATAAAGGTAAGGCACCAACTGCGGTGGGCCATCCAAGGGCATTTGAGCTTTGACACACCAATGCTCTTATTTCTTCAGACAAGCCATACTGATTGTCATCTGGAGTAACTTCCTTGTCAGGAAGAGCATTAATTAAGAGCAATCAGACCCCAAAGTAATTCTTATGTATAGATTATGTGTCAAGAGAAAGAATCTGCTTCTTAAATCATTTCAAGCCATGAGCCAAACAGATGGGCTTCATATCCTTTCTTAAACTGATTCTTTTCACTTTTTATTTTTATCTAAATTAGATTGCACCTCAGGGCAGCAGCTGAAAAATTTCCTGGGTCTCATGTTTGATTAATGTAACTCAGGAGGTACAAAAATAAGCCCTTAAAACACATGGCAGAGTGGCTGATGCTTTAAATATATAACTTTTTTCACCATATCTGCTGCTGCTGCAAAAAAAAAATGCTTTGGAGTTTAAAAATTAGGGATTCTGCATTACTGGTTGTTAGTAGTACTTCACTCATCTGCATTTGGGTACACTGAACTGGTGGTTAAAATTCATACAGAGACTTGCTGTGTTGTTTTTGTATAATATTTTCTAATGTTTTATTTTTTCTGAATGGTGGATGAATCCTGGAAGAACCATTTGGCTCAAGCAGGCACACTGTTAACTTATAGTCCAAAGAGGGGTTCCTTTCCCTACAATTTAGGGTAAGGGGGCACTGATCAGATCATGGCTCATATGAGCATAGCAGACTATCCTGTACCATGTTAGACTTTTGATCCCTCTAGCCCAATACTGTCAACTCTGACTAGAAGTAGTTCTCCAGGTTTTCAGGCAGGACTCTTTCCTAATCCTACCTAGAGATTCTTTCTTTTTTCTCATAGTTCCTATCCCATCCTTTGTTAGGAAAGTCTGAGGGTCTCTGATAACAAATTGTGGCAGATTTTTAATATAGAACACCATTCACTTCTTCTCAAGGGACCTTCTCACTCATCAAGCTAATGGTGTTGTAGTTGACATTTTGGAAGATGAGAATGTTTGCAGATTGTGAAGGTTTACTTGGATAGCCTACTTCCATGGCTCTGCATTTTACTTCTTCCTTTTCAAAGGTATATATCCTGCTCTTACTTGCTGGCTGAAATCCAGTAGTAAGTCAAAACTAAAGTAGGCCCACTGCATCAATGCAATTTACAGTTGACCCACCAAATCTCAACTGATTCAGTGCATCTGTTGTGATTACAGCTTTCTGCTGGATTTCAGCCTCTGTTTAGTATTGTGATTCACCAAGCATTTCCTGTTGGACTCTCCTTTTCCCCACCAGCCTTCTGTTCCTTTTCACCAAATCCCTCCTATAAAATTTTGATGCCATCACAGATTTCCATCAAACACTGAAAGGCAAAATCCATTATCAGTCACACCTTCTATTCTTGCCCTTCCAGATTAATGTGCAAAGAGCTTGTGCTGAGGTTTCCCATGGAGATATTCTTTTGTTTGAAATTGGATATCAATCACATTCATTTCATCTGCATGCAATTCCATTTTGTACATTGTCCACAGAACACAAAAAATAAGAGAGGCATGTTCATTGTGCACAGAACTAGAAATTACAGAGACATATAACGTTGTGAACACTATGTTTCCATCATTACTCTTTCACCAGAGAAAGAGAATGGCAAAGGGAAGAAGGAAATTGTCTGACCCATCCTTGAGGCTGCTTGATTCTTGCCTGAAAATGCCTTCCAGCCTTTTATTTTTTTATTATTTTTTTCTTCAGCATGTCTTCAGAACTAGGTTTGTGTTTTCCCCCTTTCTTTTTGGTAAAGGAAATGTTGAGAGTCTGATTATCACCCACCCTCTATGCCCACTGATTCTGAAAATCCTTCCACTCTGCTCTTCTATTCCATTTCAAGAAGACAAAATTTTGCTTGTTTGTTGAGAGGTTTTTGTTTCTGGGACATAGATTTCCCTAGTAACAGACAGAGCCACTCTTATTTTTCCAGGTGTATATTCTGGAATCTTCTGTTTCATACAGTGAGCATCTATAAGTCAGGAGATAATTTGCAAAGGAGTTACTTTGATTTTTAGAAAATGGCCTAATGTGTTTCTTCCACCAAAACATTTTTAAGTAGAAATATGCAAATTTATACTTTTTGAATGGGTGATGTTTAGGTTTATCCAACTGAGAAAGTTTTGAACTACTAAATTCAACAGAGTTTTTTTTTTAAAAAAAAATCCATTGTCTATGTTGCCATACATATTTCAGTATCTAAGCTACAATCTTTATGATGGCTGTACTTGAAGACCTTAGATGTGATCCATCACCAAATATTTAATTATTAGTTTTATTTGCCCAGTCATTATACAATACATTGAAAATCAATTGTGACAGCAGTACTTGCTTGATTCACATGCCAGTTCCAACATTACAAAATTCTAAATACATGTACAAAAAATGTCTTAGATTTTGTGAAAAACAAATTAGCATGCATAACATTTAGAATTTGTTCTATGTACAATTCAGTTTTGCCCCTTGAAGATACCCTGATGGATTTTCATGGTAATTATTTACCCAGTGACATACCTGCATTTCCTTAATTTTAAACTAAATTATTTCTGGTCACTGCTGATGTATTTCTGCACATAGCCACCATCATAATTCAATATATGTTATATCAATCCTAATTCTAATATTTTAAGTTCCACTCTTCTACTCAGATGTTATACACATTCACCTGTAGTAATTTCAAGATGTCTGAACTTGATGATAGAGCTATGGAGAATAGTAAGAAGTCAAGACAGAAAGATATTAACCTATCCTCAGTTGGTCACAGAGTTGTGTTTCAAGGAATCACACTCTTTCCTTTTTGGCAGGGGGAGTGGGAGGCATTGCTGCTCCATACCAGCAATCAAGAAAAGCAGGATCAAGATTCTTTTGTGTTTTATAGTAACTAATTGCTCAATGTCTTGTACTGAAAACAAAACGGTATTGTTAGCACAAAGCACTTAATGTGTGCACATATAATGGTTATTTTGTGCTTCTTAGTAAACACTTGTGAGCATGTTGTGTTTTGCAAGAAAGAAGCAGCCACTGTTCTTGGAATAGCCATAACTTTAGTTAAATTTTACAGACAGAAATATTGATTTTGTTATTAACAAATATTAACATAGAGGCATGAGGTTCTCCCTTATCCTTCCCTTTTCCATTTGAGGAACTGGCCTGGTTGCCCATATGACAGCTGCCTTTGGTATGGTTTGCTCATGCTTAAGCTTCTCACTTGGTGAAGCCATGTGTTTCAGAACTATGTGTTAGGTAAACATCAGATTCCATCTCAATCTATTGTTGGAAATCTCTGGTATTACTGCTACACTGCTATTATTTAATGTAATACCTCTTTTTATTATTTTATTATAGTATTACAAGTCTGTAAGCTGCCGAGAGTGGTCGCAACGACCAGATAGGCGGGATATAAATAGAATAAACAAATAAATAAATAAATACACTGCTCACTGTACTACCATGGACACCTTCCCAGAACTGACAAAATCCCTGTTTAAGCAGAGAGTATGTTGGGAAAGTTATGTAACTTCACCATTTATGGATCTAAGTTTTCTTCTGTCATTGTTTTTCACTGACTATATTATGGCAGTTGCAAGCGTCCATTATACAGAATTATTTTTCTATCTGTCCTTAAGGCAGTATTGTAAGGAAGATGTAAAATTTGCCCAGTGTTAGCTAATGTTTGCTGGACTTTCACAGAACAATGACTGGTATTTCCCATATAATGAGGATGACTAGATTGAGTGGGCTGCCAAAATAAGTTTTGTGACTGCTTATTGGAAGGTAATCACAGGCTTAATTTCTAGGTCTGGGTGTTGAAAAACATCTTTGAAGATATCCTTTGTAGGAGGGTGCAGGTTAATAGGAGGAAATAAACATTCCCCTTAAGGCAGGGGTCTCAAACATGCTGCCCAGGGGGCCAATTGCGGCCCGCCAGATGATAGTTTGTGGCCCCCGCCTTGCCTGCCCCCCCTGAAGTGCCCGCGCACCACCTTGCCTGCCCCCCCCCGAAGTGCCCGCGCATCTTCTGCTGTCAAGAGCCAAAAAAGCCAAGCCTCGCTCGCCGGCTCTCTCGCAAGACAGCGCCTTTTGCACCCTCCATCCAGAACTGCAACCTGCCAGCCAGCCCACCTGTCTGCCGGCTAGCAGGCTGCAGTTCCAGATCAAGGGTGCAAGAGACGCTGTCCTTCCAGATGGAGGGTGCAAGAGATGCTGTCCTGGGGGAGTGCCGGCAAGCGAGGTGCACTGCTGGCCCTTTTCCCCACGCACCCAAGCTGCTGCCAAGCGATGCCTGGGAGTGGAGCTCACTCCTGGCCTGTCCTCGAAGAGCGCCTCCAAGCCGCCAACAGCAGCTGCCCCTGCCACCCCCCCTTTCAGGGAAGCACGCCTCCAAGCCGTCAACAGCAGCTGCCCCTTCCGCTCCTCCTTTAAGGGAAGCGGCTGTCTGGCTGTCTTTCTCGGCACCCCCAATGCCAGCCCGGCGAGCGGCCACCTCAGCACCCAGTGGTGCTTTCTTCTCCTACTGCTCTTTGTCCTGCTTCAGCCGCCTCGGCTCTGGAGGTTGCTTGGCCTCCTCGCAGAGTTTGCTCCTCTGTCGTGGTGGGGGGTAGCTGCTGCTCCTGAGTGTGCCTTTTTTGAGGGGGCCCTCAGAGGAAGTTTGCTGGACTTCTGTGTGTGTGTGTTTGTGTGCATGCGTGTGCTCATGCACCTGTGGGGACCCCGCCCCATTCTGTTTAATTTTGTGGGTACCGATGGGGGCTTTTCTCCTTTGGCAAGGCAATTCTGTGAGGGTTTTTATTTTATTTTAAGTCGTGCCCTCCTCCCCCCGGCTAGGCAGTCGCCGGCACTCCCTCCCTTCTCCGCTTCTTCGTCCTGCTGCTGCTGCTAGTGGTGGTAGTGAAGAAGGAGCCAGAGGGGGTCGTGGCCAGCAACAAGAGCTCACGCACCCCTCCTCCTCCTCCTCAGAACCCCAGCCAGGCTAAGGAAACTCCTGGGCTGCTTCCTCGGGCTCTTGCTCTGCTTGGCGGAAAATCTGATGTGGCCCAGCCTCACCCAGACTCTGCCTCCAGCGGCCCCCAGGTAAATTGAGTTTGAGACCCCTGCCTTAAGGTCTGTTTCACCCTGAGCAAAATAATCTGTTTTCTTCATGGAATAGCAAGTTCCTATTACCCATGCACTCATAACATGTGATCCAAACAAGCATTCCACAAAGGTATCATGTTTCTCTTCTATTTCAAATGTAGGGGACAGTTTGAGCAATATGTAAGCACCACATGAAGCCCCCATGTGGAATGCTCCTACATGGTAGAGCAACATATTTGTATATTTCCTCCAGGTATGTAAGCATGTAAAATGTGAGTAGATAAATAGGTATCACCACGGTGGGAAGGTAACGCCGTTCTGTGTATAGTCACGCTGGCCACATGACCACAGAAACTGTCTATGGACAAACACTGGCTCTACGGCTTGGAAACAGGGATGAGCACCGCACCCTAGAGTCGGACACAACTGGACTAAATGTCAAGGGGAACCTTTACCTTTTAATCAGTATCATAGCCAGGGTAGGCCTTTGATATTAAATATAAGAGAGGGAGCTGAAACTTGTAACCAGCCCCTGTTGTCTTTTCTTGGTCTCCTACATTAAAATCATGCCAAGCATTGACTAGATCATCAGATCACGTGAAAGGCATTTCACTGCTCAACTATGGAAATGAATTCAGCAAGGACAACATATTTAGTATTTACAAAGGCGCTAGCCCAATTCCCAAGGCTTGTTCATTGCAATTTCAACTTCATAAAGCTATGAGCTTCCTTGTATCAGCGTGGCTAAAAATAAGATGGTAATGTGTTAAATTTTAAATGATCCCTGGAATATTTATATAACAACTCCTTTTTTGTCTCATTCTTGTCTTTTCTTTGATGTAGACAACACAGCATCTGTATTAACCAGACGGAATGGATTTCGAAGGCAGGAGCAGTCAGTATACTATTTGCCAGTGTTCATTGTGGACAGTGGCTCTCCTTCACTCAGTAGCACCAACACACTCACTATACGAGTATGCGATTGTGATGCAGATGGAATTGCCCAAACATGTAATGCAGAAGCCTACATCTTGCCAGCAGGACTAAGTACTGGAGCACTGATAGCTATCCTGGCTTGTGTTCTGACATTGCTAGGTATGTCTTTGACATTTTTCACATGAGGGAAATATTTTTCTTGGAGCAAGTAAAATCATTTATGTGTTTGTCACTTTTTCTTCAAGGAACTTAGGGAACAAAATATTGAGGATATCAGGAGAGTCTTACCTAGAGGTGCTGATCCAAGCAAGCCTAGGTTCAGTAAAAGAAGTTGGTAGTCTTAGCCTTTTTAATATGAATACAAATATGCTCATGCATATGGCTGAATGTGATTATTGAGAAGGAAGAAGGAAAGCATAAAGTCAGTCAAAATCTTTCACTGAGCAGAAAAATCATTTTCTGATTTCAGTTAGTCTTCACATTTTTTTATATCATGAAAAAGCATTTACAAATTGTTATTCTTACACAGTGGCCAGAATCTTATTGGTGTTTGTGTAAAGTATGCATAACTTGCTGTGGCAAATTGACACCAAATGGTTTCAGGCTTCAGTTTTGCAGTCAGGAGCATAACCAGACATGCAACAGAGGTGCCCTATCACTTCATCAGTATTCTGCAATTAGCAAACCTTGTATGAATACCAATAGGATTTTGGCTAGTGTCTCATACATCCCATTAAGTCTGCTTCAGTGTTTCGCCCAATTTATTTCTTCAGGACTAACGTATGTTTTTCCAACTTACAAGACCCAACTGAACTTTTTCTTAGAGTAATGGGTACGCCATTCTTTTCTGCACTAGAGATTGGAAGCAATGCATCTTTAGAACCATGGGTTACAAGTGAAAATCTATTCCATAGATACTGTACCTAAAAGTCATAGGAGTACATCACTGCTTTTAGCAATGCATCTGAGCTCAGACAGGGCAAATTTTCATTTTCATCACTGACACAGATGCTGCAAAAAAAGCTGCACAAGGCCATCTGAAACAAATATATAAACAAGCCAGATGTTATTAGTAAAATTGGTGAATGGAAACACTGTAACTAGAGCCTGGTGGAACACTGCTGCCTTCACCTGTGAGGGTGCCATTCCCAAGGTTGCTAAGCTGCATGGGTGTTGTAGTGAGGGAAAACTCTCCTAGCATCCTGTGGCTGCTTCTGAGGGGAGGAGCTGCCACCATTCCTCCTCTTTCTCATTATCATAGAGAGCTTGCCATAGAGGCCTTTCCTTAGGCCAATCAGAGGGCTTGATTAATTGCCTTTCCCCAGACCAACCCTAATAACATGATGTAACCATTGTCCTACCTGAACCCTGGCTACTATCTGTAATGCTGTCACTACGTGTGACCTTGTAATGTTAATAAAAGGACAGTCTCCTGGGGGCAGGGCAAGAAGAGACAGACAGGAGAGAGAGAGACCAAGAGGAGAGCAGAACGTCATAGAGGGAGAGACAGACGACTTCTCATTCTGCTTCCTTGCTAAGTCACCCACCAGGAGTACTGCTGGCAGACATCCATCTGTGTGTGTGGCTGACTTCTTTAATCTATTGCTAAGAGACTTTTTGCTATCCTAATATCCATTATCTGGTGATCACCACAAAGCCCATCAGCCTGCTCATTGCCTGAACCCAACATTCACCAGCCATTTAAAGGACAAGAATCTGTCCAAAGTTTGAGAGCTCCTAGTGTACAGGGCTGCAGTCTACTTTTGTGAAAGGTAATAGATTAAATACACATATCTTAATGGATTTGTGGCCAGATTTTGGCTGGCTAGTTCAGTGGGTTTGACTGCTTTGCTGTGAAGCCAAGAGTCTGAATTTGATTCCCCACTGTGTCTCCCAAAAGAGGAAGTCTGTGTATTTCGGAGTACTTTATACCTAAGGGAAAAAAAACTGGAAAGGGTCTCCATAAGAACTACCTGATGGTCATTCTGATGGTGGCAATGGCAGTGTTGGTGCTAATTCTTCTGTGATCAAAATTGTTCAACAGATGCAATTATTGAAACATACAACTTCCAGTTTTAAGAATAAGTAATGACAGAACAGTCACATTAAAAAATTCCAATCTTTCCTAGTTTTATTTATTAATATGAAACCCACTTAGTATGTGGAACTGAGGTCATTTCATTGACTCCTTTCTGGTCAGCTCCTACTCCTGATTGCACAATCTGTGGATTTATAGAGGTCTAAAAGAACATTTTTTTTGCAGCACAGTGTCAGGATGAGCAGTAAAGCTACAAGGGAAATCAATAGCAAGTATCGTTTTCGTACGTCCAGATATTGATTTGTATTTCTGTTTTGTTCTGGGTGTTAAAAATTGAACACATAGGTGCATGTGGGAGAATATAGACCTTAAACCAGTTGTAATGTATTCCCTGGCAGCTGTATGCAAAATTCGTATCTCATTATAACCCTTCTATTTTCATCTGAATTTTCAAAATTGAGACTTTTTTTTTCATTTATGTATTCTGCTATACAGTCCAGGCCTCCTGTGGCCTGGGAAACTTTAAAGATATTTGAAGACAACATGGCTATTCCTCCCTCCCCCCCTTTCCCGGTGGAGTATTGTATGATAGACAGGAAGAGGAAGCATGTTGTAGCGAATTTCTTTCATTTATTTCTTACTAGGTTTTTTTAACCACGTTACCTGCTGCAAAGTTGTATCAGAAGGCAGCAGCATAGAATCTTTTTTCCTTCTTCCCAGCAAGAATGATAGTACATCATGGTGGGGCAACATCACCGATGCTATCTTCTCCACAAGTGTTTGTGATAGTTGAGCAACAAGCTATCTCTGATCCTCTACTAGAGAAAGAATCACATTAGCCCACCAACCTCAATTCACCATTTGATTCAGCGCTTGTCAGAGATCCCACAGTGTGAATAAGGAAACTGATGGGTAGCAGTTGGTCTTAGCTCTGTAATCTTTCTAGGGCTATTGCAGCTTCAGTTCCAGAGCCATCTGTGGAACATCACAGCCTGTGAATGGCAGATACTATAAAACCTTTAGGTTAACCAGGACTGCTATAAATACCATCATTCCATGTTTCTGCCTGTGCCTGGTGTTTCTGTCAAAATGCCTGCCGTCTTCTTCTGGATGGAGCTCTGATACCTCAAATCTAATGCCAACACTAAAGCTTGAAATTAAATGATTTCAATAACTAGTTATTTGAAATTAGTCCCTTCTTCCAATAACAAAGATACAGTACATTATGATTATGACTTATCTTTCATCCTTTTGCAATTCACCTTTGACATTTTAGTTACTTTTATAGTTATAGGGATGCTTAACAATGGAGAAAGAATATAACATGATAGAAGTGGTAGCTAGTGCTACATACTACTGTCTCCTGCTCTCTTGAAGGTGTTGAGGTGACCACGTAGGTTGTTTATGGACTGAGGAAGTAGTGCCTCACTCTCAGATTTTTTGAGAGTGTGCAATCATGAGTGACCCATAGGCCAAGCTGGATGGGAAGAGAGTGTCCTTTGTGCTGCAGGCCAAAAGCTTGTTCAGATTTTATTATTTAAGAACTTTTTTTAAATGTATCTATTTTTCTAAACAGGAAAATAGAGGTTTGTCTTTTAAAAACTAAATAATTAACAAGCTAATTGTTATAACAATTTGGGAATATAAAACTATAGGTGTGGCTACATAGATTTTCAAACTAACTTTCCAAGCCGTGGCCAACAGAAATGACTCTTGTGGGTTTAAAAAGGGTGCAGGTGTGGCTACAACATAGCCCCAACCTTGGTCCTGACAGCAGTGGAGAGACATGTCTCTATTCATTTTAATAAAAGGGGTGCTGTGCATGCTCTCAGTTATCACAAAACATCCAAGACCTCTATAGATGTGTTAGAATCAAATTTTATTAATCTATGTTTATATAGGCTGAATTACCTTTGCAACTTAAATACCATTCACTCTCCAGCCAACCATTTGTAGAATGAGAGCAATAGTGACCCATCGCTATCAATTTGATTTTTAAGTAATATAGCTATCTATGGCTATTGCCAGCATGAGGTGGGAAATGGAAGTGATGAGATTCTAATCTGTACCACCTACGATCGAAGATGATATAGTCAGAAAATTCTCTGCATGTTGTCAACTGACAGAGCAGAGAAACAAAAACAATACAGGTATATGCATCTCTGTAAGTGGCTTAGGTTTCCAGGTAACTCTTTATAGGCGGAAAATATTAAAAAATATAACCAATTTTGTAGTCTGAAGTTCTACAGTCCATAATTCTATCTGATCAGTTTATTATTCCATTCTTTATAATGAGCAGATAAGCTCTAAATCTTCCAGATCCACACAGTACTGTTCTTCGCCTTTAGGCATAAGGCAGGCTGTAAATCAAAAGTAAATTTTATTCTAACACCGGATCAGCTATGGAGTGATGTTGTTTTCATTTTTTTTCCTCCCCCCCCCCAAAAAAGTAAAGAGCTAACAAATAGGATTGTAATTTACAAAAGCACATAAAAATATTTGTGCTGGGTATCATTCCCTTTATGTTGTATATAATTCTTGAAAGAAATAAGTGAGGAAAATCTTTAATGCTTCTGAGAATTATATGGCAAGTGCAGAGTAATTTTTTTTCAATGAACATCACAGAAACACAATAGTAATGGCTTTTATAATAACTGTTTAGCATAATCACAGGTATGCATATCTGTTTCTTAATTTCGCAAGGTGTTGCTGCATTTTACTTAGACAAAATCCTTTCTGGATCTGAGACATCAGTGCTACAATAACAGATGCGTGGAAACACACAATCCAAATATGTCTGTCTAAACAGTGCCTACCTATTATTTTGTCATATTGAACTGGGCCCTGAAATAGAGTATGGAACTTTGTGCAGATCATGAAGGACTAGAATCATCACTGATCATATTGGCCAATCCTTCTTAGCAGTTTTCTTGCCTTTTTTTGGACCAGCTATAATTTCTGAACCATTTTCTAGGGTATTTCCAGTAACGAGTATCTGTTTCATATAAGTGCAAGCATTATAAATAAATAAATTAAAATAAGTGTATTTTGACAACACCCACCCACTCCTATTCTACTCTTACACTGGGCTCTTGTGGAGTACTCCACTGAGTTCAAAAAACTGCAGACCTTTTGATGGGGGGGGAGATCTTTGATAATATCTGCGTTAATCTAAGGCACACTTTGAAGTTTTTTCTACATATCTTCTACATTGCATGGTTTAATTAGAACTTATTTGCAGCAATGATAAATTTCTAGTTCTGAAAGTACAGAAATGTTTCATTTAAGAATAATGGAAAATTCCTGGTCATTCAGTCAGACAGTAGTTTTGTAACTGTGCCTTTTGAAAAGGGGGACTAAATGAGTTTGTTGTTGTTGTTGCTGCTGCTGTTGCTGTTAATGCATTGTTTTTTTAAAAAAGATTGTTATTTTAAAACTACTCTAAAATAACTTTCTCCAGACCCAGTTATTATTTCACTGAAATGCATGCCCGGATACGCTGGCTTTGCAGGCAGTACCATCTCTAGTACTCAGCTGCTAAAATGGCATTTATTCATGTAGAGGTTAAAAATTATTGTTCAGGAGCAGTTGGAGTGATTAGAAATTAATATTCTCTTAAAGCCATTTAAATGCTAAAATGTTTAACCTTTCAAAGGACTTCATATTTTTCTTGGCTTCAAGCAACTGCGAGTTGTGCAAGGCATAACCACATAAAACATTCATTTTATCTTGATTTTTATTGTACCTCTAGGCAGGCAGATCTATGAAGTTTCATATATTTTGCACTTATTAGCAGGTATTTAACTCCCCAGATGAAGTCTGCAGAACATGTCATAGTGTGAAGACACATTTTCACTGAAGTAGGGAAGAGATTAACTGCTCAGCACATGGTTGTAGAACTACCCTAGTATCGTCAAAAGTCATTTTGAAGACCGAAAAGCGTAGCTTCAGCAATTTTAATTTTATTTTCAATTATATTATTATTATTCCAGCATTTATTTCATAATATTTAAGGGTTAGCCAAGATCCAGAAATACTTCTTATTTAAAGGCCTTTGCCCCATTCCTGGTCATTGTCATCCCATGAAATCGAACATGTTAATGAGGTTCATGGCCAAGCAATGTTAGGAAATACAATCTTTTCTGTCCACATGTTTTCTGCTACAGAAAGCAAGTGTTCCACACTGTAAAGTTCCATACAGTAATGTTCTATAACACCATAGCCATGCTTAGTACCATCTTCCTCAGGATAGGTAAGGGTATAAGTGGCATTAGAGTATCTCATTAAAGGTATTTGCTATAGTGAAGAGAGGGAAGGAGAGATGGGTGTGTGAAGCTGATCAAGCAGGTAAATAGCAGAGAAGGGTCTAGTACAGTATAGCATAACACTGAAGATACTAGGCTCTCACAAAAATCTTCTGATCCTTATAAAACACTTTAAGCCCTCACTATAAAGCAGTAAGGGTTGTCCAGCCACATGAGTTAAGATTACCATAAAAGCAAAGCCAATGTCTTCCTAAGAGTGTTGCTGGTGGTACCGTCTTGAAGTCTACAGTGGAGGCTCACATGTCCAGAAAATATAAAGATACTACAGACATTCTGTCTTTCCTTCCAGATTCCTTTCTTTCCTTATATTCATGGTATCACCATATATTTTTACACATATTTTTCAGAGATCAGTTTTGAATTGGGCTTCAAAGATCAATATGTCAGGGTTTTTTAAAAAAAATTCTTGAGCATAACATTAAAAGTAATGTACAGATAACCATCCAATCAAATGAAGTATTCAGGAAAAGGTCATGACCGGCTTCCTGAAGTAATTAACAGGAGCCCTACATTTTATTTTTAAAAATTGCTAGAGTTAGTAGTAGCAGCAGCAGCAGTAACAATAATAACAATATACCATCATGTCAGTTCCCATTTATGGCAGTCCTTTCCAGGGTTTTCTCAGTACAGTGGTACCTTGCAAGACGATTACCCCGCAAAATGGTTTTTTTTGCTAGACATTGACTTTTTGCAATCGCTATAGCGATTCGCAAAACCGTTTTTTCTATGGGGGATTATGCTGGACGATGATTTGGTCTGTGCTTCACAGACTGTTTTTTCACAAGATGACGATTTTTACAGCTGATCGACGGCATCGCAAAATGGCTTCCTTATGGACGATTTTCACTGGACCACAACTATTTCCCCCCATTGGAATGCATTGAATAAATAAATAAATTAAAAGGGTTTCAGTGCATTCCAGTGGGGAAACACTTTTCGCTAGACGATGTTTTCACAAGACAGCAATTTCAGTGGAATGGATTAACATAGTCTAGCAAGGCACCACTGTATAACACACCCTTTTTCTGCATGGGATTTGATACTGTGTTGCTTGTCCAGGAACAAATGGACTAGCTCAAATATTATATCAATACTAATACAGTACTAATATTGTAATACTAACGTTAATAAAACAATCATCACCATTATGAGAAAATGGCCATTCAATTTGTGTTGTGATTAAGGACAAGTAGTAGACCAAGTGGTAGGTACGCCACACACCAAAATTCTGTGAGGGAAGGACCCACTCTGTTCATGACCCTGCCAGTGTTTGTAGGGCCATTTGGACCCTCACATTCTGTTTAAGAGTAGACCATTGGTCTAGATGGACGGGGTATAAATTG